CGGCAGGCCTAGGGAGGGGCAGGTGCCTGGGCGGCCCCTGCTTGTGTCCGGGGCGGCGGGGCCGATGGGAGGCTCATGGCTGAGAAAGCGGCTCTTCCTTCCCCCACACCTGAGTTGATGGCGATTGTGCTCCCCGAGCCCCAGTCCTGACCCCGACAGAGCTCCTCCTCCGTGCCGGGCGCTGCCCAGGAGCGGGACAAAAAGATATTTGCCTCAAAGGGCGTTACGGGGTTGCTGGTGGGCTGGTTGGAGCCTTTGGTGCTGTGCACCCCCCTCCACATCCTGTATCCAGAGCTTAACGGTGACATCTTTAACCCGCACCAAATATTTTCTCACATGAATCACCAAAGGAAAAAAAAGCTTTAGTGACAGTCACAGATATAGGAAGGGTCACACTTGATGTGCGGAATCACATGTATCTATTTTTAACTTCTTTTGACATCAGCGAAAGGGTTCTTCAGGGCAGCAGCTGCTTGAAGTTTCATCTAACCTACTGTAAGGTCCTCCCACCTTTTCAACATCTGACTTGAGACTGGAGTGATGTTTTTAATTCATTAATAAGAGAGACGAGCATTTAAGCCATTCTAGTTTTGTGGGATAATAGTGTGGTTGATGGAAGGTTGGAGTTATATTTGCTCTTGAAACAAACCTTAGAATTGTGTGGTAAGAAGTGAAGATGTTTGTGAAAACTGCCTAGTACCCCAGTGGTAGTCAATTCTGATAGGGAGAGGCGGTTCCTTCAAGCAAACTTCTTGTGAAGTTGTTGGAAACAGAATTTGTCCTGAAGAAGAGTGTAGCAGGAATTCTTGCACTCTTTTTTGATCTATGGCTTTACATTGCACTGGTCATTAGCATATTTAGGATATGTATTTTAATTTTACAGCTGTTTTTATTCGTTGTCTTATTGGTCAACACTGGTTTTATTTGTACTCAACGTGAAGAGATCCAGGTCTTCTCAGTACCTGGAAGACCTGAGTTCTGTGCTTGCCTCTGATTCTGAGGAGTGCTGCAGAGGCAGATCTACAGGTTTTTCAAGAAAGGAGTGTCTTAATTATTGTTGGGATTTTGAATATTTCTGATAACAAGGTGACTTCTAAATACTGCACCTCTCAGATGCTACTTTATGATTACATTCTTGTTTTCATAGAAATGAGGACATCCATCTCAGTCTGTCTGTCTACCTCTTCTAAATCAACAGTTCACCAAGCAGTGATGTGTCGTTTTCAGCCCTGCCATTGCTTCCACAGCATTGCTAGATATATATCTACAACTTCAAGAAATAAGAAAAAGTCTTAAGAATATAACCAAATGCATATTGCATTGCTCTTTAGAGGGATGACTTAACATCTGTGTAGGATACATGTAGTGGCAGATACTTCAAAGTGGAGTAAAGAGGATCACAGTGAAGTGGATATACAAGAAACTAAACTACAGCATTGTACAGACTGAGATTTAGGGAGGAGAGAAACTGGGTGACTTGTTTAATGTATCATAGGGTTAGGAATCCAATTAATACTGCCACAGCTAGTGTTATGCTAGGGCAGACAGTGGGAGTTACTAAAGCATATCAAACATTCACTGTTTTCTAAGTGACAATAGCCAATTCAATCCTGCAAGTTCCTTCATTGTGAATAATGGGAGAAGAGAGAGTATTGACCACATCTTGACTATCCACTAATCTTACCACAAGCAGATTTTGCACCACTTTTTTTTTATCCACTAATCTTACCACAAGCACTGAAACTTCTAGGAATGCTGGTGATAGCTGCCGCTGGTGATGACATTGGTCACAATCCGTTGTCAGACTGCTACTAATTGTAATACTCTAACTTCTAGATCAGCGGTTCCCAATTGCTGGGCCACGGCCTGCTGCCAGGCCACAGCAGTTCTAGGGGCTGGGGTTAGGGTATACTGCTCTCGCCGCGGCTGTTGGGAGAGACGTGGCGGGAGGGCCGTGCAGAGCAGGGAAGCGCTCTTCTGTGGTTGGGAAGAGACCCTGCGCAATGTGGCCCTCCTGCTGCACAGGGAGGCGTTCTTCCACATTTGGAGGAGACCCTACCCCTGCCCAGTGCTGGTTGGCTAAGAGGTGGGGCAGGACATGCCTCTCCCAACAGCTGTGATGGGAGGGGAGGTGCTGGTGTTGTACCCCAGCCCCCAGAGTCTCTACCATGCAGGCATCAGTGCAGGGCTAGGTGAGGGGGGTGGGGCAGGCACTGGGGGCTCCAGGAGTGGGGCTAGTGCTGGGGGGCTCTGGAAGCTATACGGGGAGGGCTGGCACTGTGGTGCTCTGAGGATGGGGCTGATATTGGGGACTGGCCTGGAGGGTCTCAGGGGAGTTTGGGTGCAGTGGAGCTTTGGAAACAGGTGGTGGGGGGCTCTAAGAGGTAAGGAACTGGCACTGAGGTGTTTAGGATGGGGCGCTGGCACTGGGGGGCTCTGAGTGCAGGGGGGGGTCCATGGGACTCTGGGCCCTACTTATTTTCAGTTTGAATTTGGCTAGTTTTAACTTCCAGCTATTGGATTATGTTTTACCTTTCAGTGCTAGATTGAAGAACCCATTATTAAATATTTTTTCCCCACATAGGTACTTGAGGGCTGTGATCAGGTTGCCCTTAAGCTGCCTTTTTGTTAGATTGAGCTGCTTGAGTTTATCCTGGTATATCATGTTTTCTAATCCTTCAGTTCATCTCATGGATCTTATCTGTACCTTCTCCAGTTCATCAACATCCTTGAATTGTGGGCACCAGAACTGAACTCAGTATTGTTTGAGTGCTTGCTCATGTCCATTTAACATAGGTGTGCTTGGTTGCTCTGTGCACTGGTGCTGGAAGATTTTCCCTCCTCAGTACCCGTAGAGGTAGGCTTTGACGCCCTACAGAGTGGTGCACACAGAGTGTGTGATATAGAGTGCTGCCAGCCACCTCCACCCAATTCCTTCTTGCTATCAGTGACTATGCTTGGAACTTCACTGCTACAGCGCTTGCTGTCTTGTCTTGATCACTTGTAAATCAGTTTTTCCTTTAGTTGATAATAGAGCTTTAGAAACACAAGTTGTCCTGTAGCACCTTATATATAGTATCATGAGCTTTCGGGGCAAAACCCACTTCTTCAGATGAGCAGAGAGGAGAAAAAAGGGGTGCTCCCACAATTTATAACAGAAAAAGAAGGGCATTGGGTTCGGGGGGTGTACCTTTCAATTATAGTGCCATGTTAATGAGGCTAATTGAATGGGCTGGAAGTGTCCCATACTTAGCTTTTGATGTCAATTGGGTGTTGAATGTAAGGAAAGCAGGTTTTATAATGGCCCATCTATTTCAGGTCTTTGTTCAATTCATGAGAGTGTCAAATTTGCATGAGTTGAATTCTGCACACTCTGTAGTTGGCTAATGAAATTCCTTTGTAGAAGGATGGCTACTTTTAAATCCATTAATGAGTGCCCACATAAGTTAAAATGTTCCCCTACAAGTTTCTGAGTATTGCCATTTCTGATATTTGACTTGTCCATTTATCCTTTGTTTTAGAGCAGTGGTCACCAACCAGTAGATCGGGATCTATGGTAGATCTTGGAGCCTCTGACAGGTGATCCTGACTGGCTTGGCCAAGAGGCTATCAAGCACAGCACTTCATTTGCCCCTCCCACCACTGCTGCACACCTCCTGCCCTGGGCCTTGGAGCTGCTTCCCCCTCTCCTGGAAGCCTCCTGCTTGCAGTGTAGCGCAGGAGAAAGAGCAGAGAGTCGCTGATATCAGGGTGCCCCCTCTTCCACCCTGTATCCTATCTCCAAATGTACAACAGGTCTTGGGATGCAGGAGGTTTGTTGGCTACTTTTGGGAGTGGTGCAGGGCCAAGTCAGGGTGAGCTTGTCTTAGCCCCATTGCACCACCACCCAGGAGCCACCTGAGGTAATCAGTGTCCAGATGGAGCCAGCTCTGAACCCCTGCCCTAGTCATGAACCCCCTCTTGCACCGCAAGCTGTTGCCCTTGCCCTGAGCCCCCTGGACCTAAACTCCCTTACGGAGCCTGTACTCTGAACCCCTTCCTGCACCCTAACTCCCTGCCCAGGGCTCAGCTCAGAGCCCCCTCACATTCCAAATCCCTTAGCCCAAGACCAAAGCCTGTGCCCCAACCCTCTGCCCCTGCCTGGTGAAAGGGAGGGAGAATGGGGGAGGCAGGAAGGGAGGGCAGAGGGAGAAGTGGCACAAAGGAGGCAGGGCAAGGGTATTTGGGTTTGAGAGAGATTTTACATTGTATTTAAATTCAAAAAGTAATCTTGTGATTAAAGGTTGGAGACCACTGTCTTAGAGACTGTCTGGTTTGGACAATACACGTGGCTGAGGGACATTGCTAATTAGAAGTTCCTTTGAGACATTAGCCCCAGGACGGGGCATGCCCTGCTTCTATCTACCCTGCTTTAAGTCCTGTTAGTTGCCTCAGGCCTATGCCTGTTAGTGACCCACAGAATAAGGCTATGTCTACACTGCAGGCTTGTGTGTCTGCACTGCCATGTGCTTTTGTGCAAGAGTGTCCATGGCGGTATAGAGGCTCTCTTGCGCAAGAAAGCTCTGATGGCCATTTTAACCATAGGGGTTTCTTGCGCAAGAAACCTCTGTTGCCTGTCCACACTGCCTTCTTGCACAAGAAGCCCTCTTTTCTGATGCTTTACTGTAAATTTAGTTGCTCAAGTACACGTGTGCAGTGTAGACGCTCCGCAAGTTTTTGCGCAAGAACCGCCGTGCTTGCACAAAAAGCCTGCAGTGTAGACGTAGCTCAAGTGTCTTCAGTGTTTAGGACCTGTTGTTGAGCTAATAGCTTCTGGCACTGATGCCTGCCTGAAAAGGGGTGTTCCTTCTGACACCTCAGACACTGAGTGGCACACCTACGGAGGTATGGTGTGACGTAGTGGGGGGTACCTTGCTGGTTGCTATGCTGGGCAGTGGGCTGTGGGTGACCTCTGCTGTCTGTAGCACGGCCCAGCAGGGCAGGGGATGAGTCATTATGCAAGGGGGCTCCAAACCTGTCCGACCAGTTATCTCCCAGGGAGTGGAACAATGGAAAGAAGGCGGAGTGGAGCCCTGGCTGGGAGGCAGGGCTGGAGGAGAGTGGTAGTTTCTGTCTGGGAAGCAAGGGAGAAGGAGCTAGGGAGGGGGCTGGGATTGTAGGGCCCAGCCGCCCTCCATCTCAAGGGGGGGCACTGAGGCCTCCTAGCCCCAGTTCCTGTAACCAGATTACATCTGTGCTGTGCTGTATCCTGGAGAAGCAATAAACTCCCTCTATTCTACTGGCTGGTGGAGTCTGTTCGTGCCAGTACGGGGGTGCAGGAGGTGGGGGACCTCGACGTGCCGTCACACATGAGGAACCCCCATGAGTTCCATAGACCCCATTGGGTAGGCCACAGGGCCAGAGAACACATGAGCTGCTGTGGTCCCATTTGCAGTGCGTCAGGAGTAAATGGTGCCAAGGCTTGTGCTGTTGGCAGGGACATATTATTGACAGGTGCCACATTTTCAAATCTTTTAGGCTGCAGTTAAAGGCTTCTTTTTGAAATCAGCTCCAGCTCAAGACCAGCATTCTGACTCAGCACTGACTACAGGTGCTTCTGTGCACAATGCGCCACCAGTGCCAAGAGGTACACGGCACCATTCCCTATTCTCGGCCTCAACTAAGGACCAAGAATCCTCAGAGGGGCAGATCGCTGGGTCCATATGAAGACAAACCCAAGTAGATGGTTAATACGGCACTGACTCAAGTGGTGCGGTCGACCTCCATGGCTGTTCTGGAATGTGGTAGTCCAGACTGTTCCCCACCACCAACTCCAGGCAGCCCACTAGAGGCTCTTCAGGCAGCCTGAGAGATCCTATTCATGTTGTTGCTGCCAAAGCCTGCCATAGTTGAGCCCTGGCAGAAGGGGAAGACCATGCTGGGACCCCTCAATCTCCTCTCAGGTAGGTTCTTCTTCCAAAGAAACTTTCCATCATGTGCCCTCTTTTACTAGTAAACAAGGGACCGGTAGTCTGATGCAGACCTCTGTTGATTCATGGGCTCCGACGGATCGAGGGGGGCTTGCTGGCAACGGGGTACATACCTGAGGACGCACATATCTGCCACCATGTTAGGCATTCCCAAGGATGTTGCTTACCACTCTCCCCTTGTGCTTCCAGGGACAGATCTCTGGTCTGCTGGCCCCATCCCTTTGCTTGCTGATCACTGCACCTTCCGCCTCAGAATGCACCTTGAGAGAGCGCAGGCGTCGCATCTGGTTCCATTCTGCTTCACAATACAGCACCAGTCCAGCACCACTCAGTGCCCAGGACCTGGCACAGATCTCCAGGCCCCCGTCTGTCTCTGAGGAGCCAGTCTCAACACTCATCCGTGGCCTCATATTGTTCCAACAGGAGCCCGCTGTTCTAGGAATGTAAGCTGATTGACTAGTTGACTGTCCAGTAAGCAAAAGTTTCAGCTAGTCGACACGCTATTCGATTAGTCACTTCTCCCCCCTCCCTCCCCGCCCTTACTACCTGTATCAGAAAGAGGCAGGAAGGGGAGAGGAAAGAGGAGGAGCTGCTGGGGGAAGCCAGCTTAAAAGCTAGTTCCCCTCAGCTCCAGCTCCGAGGAGCCCGCTGGGGCTCTTGTACATTTCAAAGTGGAAGCGCTGTGTGAAGCTTGGGGCCAATGGAGGACTCAAAGCTCTATGCCGCATTTCAATTTTTGAAATGTAACAGCTGGGTGGACTCTTGCTACATTTCAAAGTGGAACACCCTTATCGACTAATTAAATAGTCAGTGGAAATTCCATCGACTGTTTAAACACCCCTATTCAGGACCATCCTGGTCACCGGACAAATGTCCTCTTAGAGAGTCTTGCATCATGGTCTGTTTCGCTGCCACCAGCACAAACCCTGGCACTGTTTCCTCCTGTGACACCGTAAACTGGCCCACAGTAGTTCATGTGGCTTCTGGCCTACCTAATGGGGTCCATGGAATCCATGGGCGTTCCCCATGCATCTGCAGGTGCCCCACTCAGTCACCATCGTGTAAGAAGGACCACCAGCCTACCTTCCCAAACAGCAAAGAGACTCTTTGCTCTACAAGTCTGTCTATCGAGGAAGACCTGGAGCACCCTCTGACACTCCTGATGTCCGAGGAAGGACCATCCGCCCAGACGCCATTCCCTGCCTACTCTTTGAATTTACATTAGCATAACTATGCCTATATAAGGGACCTACCGGCAAAGCAGACAAGGAAGCCGGGTAGAGACAAGTCTCCCCATAAAGACCTTACAGTGACACAGCTGTACCGCTGCATCTGCACTGATTTAAGATCTCCTGGATAGCTGCTATCTGCATAATTAAACTAAGGCTATAAAAGACTAGTCGACTATCCGATGAGCATTTGCTTATTGGATAGTATTTTGACTAGTCGACAAGTCGATATTCCCCACCCCCTTTGCTGCCTCTATCAGACAGAGGCAGCAAAGGTAGGGGAGGGAAGGGGTACTTCAAAGTGGCAGAGTTGCACAGTGACGCTGCTGCTTTGAAACCCCCAGGCAGCTTTTCAGAGGTGCAGCAGTTGCACCTTTAAAATGCCGCCTGTGCGCCTTTCAAATGGGCAGCTGTGGAGCCCAGGATCAGCTGCGTGGTGGGCTGCCTCTTTAAAACGCCGCCTTTGCGATGATTCAGAGGGGCAGCTGTGGAGCCCAGGATCAGCTGAGGGCTACCTGCAGCATTTCCCTGGAACCACATGGAACCCAGGGTCAGCTGGGGACTCCCTAGCTGCTGCTTCAGGTAGTGTGCCCGTGGGTGCTTCACTGTAGGTGTCAGGCTTGTCACTGTAGGTGTCAGGCACCGCAGGTCAGAGATTCATTAGCCGTGGTTTAGCCAGACCGTGCATGCACGACGACATAGCCGCGTACACTTTCTTGCCGTTTCTGAGGCTGCGCATGGTCCGGTTCTCGCCAGTTCCTTCTAACCATTCACAATCATAGGAGGAGTGAATTGTTTCTCCTCACCCTGACTGAAAAAATTTAGAATTAATTAGCAATAATTAGTTTTTAGTCTTATTTAGTTATTTAGTTTTTAGATATAGCTTCACTTGTGAACGTTTAAAAAAAACTTTTTTTCTTTCTGTATATATAGTTCTACCTAGATAATCTGTACATAGTTATGCTACTTAAAAAAAAAAAGCCAGATTCCCCCGGTTTCAAGAAGTTCTCTACATGCCGCAACGCGATGCCAGCCTCCAACAGCCATGCCAGCTGCATCAAATGCTTGGGCGAGGGTCACATCCCTCAGAAATGCCCACACTGCTCAAAGCTGACTGTGCGCACGAGATGGGACTGTGAAATGTGCCTGAAAATGTTATTGTTCAGCAAGGTACTACAACCTGCTGAAAGAGACTCAACTGTGAGCCCTACGACTGCAGGAAGGCCGCCAGCCCATAGGCTTAGCATGGCTGAGAAGCCGGGCACATCCAGCTTCTTCTAACACCCAGGCTCATACACACAAAACGAGCCATACGGTGTCCGAGCCGAGCCCAGTCTCACATAGAGAGGCAGCCGATTCGGCACCTGTGCCGGGCAAACAAAGGTCAGCAGCACCGACGAAATTGGCACCAAAGGTACACAGGACAGCACTGACTCTGGCACCGAGGTCACTGTCCCCAGCTCCGTGCCCAAGCCCTTCAGCATCTTCGGGTTCTACGGCCAGTACAACGGTGCCAAGTCATGTGGCACCAACCCACATGGCACCGAGTCATTCGGCGCCTGTTCACACAGCACCAAGCGCGTTGGCACCAAGTCAGGTGGCGCTGTCCTCAGCAGCGCCATCTCCAGTGGTGCCTCCCTCTACACAAGTGCTGCACCGTCTGGCACTGTCACCGACCTCAAGAGGACAGCCTGTACCGATACCTCAGATACGGCTTTCTCCTCAAAGGTGGAAGGCTACCCATAAGTCTAGGAGAGTAACAACACCATCTCCTAGTCCAGAACCAGCGGTATTTTCTCCGCAACCTTCTTCATCACCTTCACTGATGGCAGTCCCTATGCAATGGGAAGACCGCCCTAGTCCAGACCAGAGTTGTTCGCCACGGTATTCCTCATCTCCGCAATGCTATCACAGGCGGCCACACTCGCCAACATACCATAGAGGAAGATCTCGCTTCCCAAGGTCACCTACAAGATCCTCCTACACTGGATACCACCACACCGCATACTATTCTCCTCCTCACCATGGACATGACAGATATCATAGCCACATGGGATTACTATTTCCATCAATACTCATATAGCCACTTCCACTCATCTTCTCTACACTGTAACTGAGGGCACTCACAGTACCATCAGGTTACTGTCACCGCCGCAATCATCCACAAGGCCTCCAACCCCCTCAGGGGATGCACATCCAACAGAACAGCAACCGGAGCAGCAGGAAACTCTCTCGGAACATGCTCAACCACACACACGGTCCCCAACGGACCAGTCTTCTTCATCCCCGGATGATGCAGTTTTTTCTGGAGATTCTTCCCCAGTTGATGACATCAGACAATTCCATGACCTCTTTAAGAGGGTGGCAGAATCTCAGGAAATACAACTAGAGGAGGTGCAACAAAAACAGCATCAACTACTTAAGAACCTTCACAGAAAAGCAAACTTGCTTTGCCCTTGGACGAAGCAATATTGGAAATTGCAGATGACATCTGGTAGACCCCAGCTTCCATCCAAGCAACACATTAAAGGTCGGATAAAAAGTATTTTATCCCCTCCAAAGGGATGGAATTTCTATACATGCATCCACAACCAAATTCCTAGGTGGTCGATGCCGCTCAGCAACGATCAAAGACCCCCTCAATATAAAAACACCACATCAGACAAGGAGGCCAAGCGTTTAGATCTTTTTGGAAGAAAAGTATACTTATCTGCTACGCTAACTTTACAAATGGCGAACTACTCAGCACATCTCTCCAACCACAACTTTGATAATTATGCAAAGTTGGTGACACTTCTCCAACATCTGCCAGAAGAAAAACGTCAGCTTTTGAAATCGGTGGTACAAGAAGGTTATATGGCCTCGAACAGCATTGCAAATTTTGTTAGATATTGCGGGCACAGTGGTCTGTACCACCACCACATCAGTGGCAATGTGGCGTTCCTCTTGGCTTCAGATGGCATCCGTACCGAGAGATCTACACACAAAGGTTAGAGGACCCACCATTTGATAGGCAGAGTCTGTTTGCGGCTAACACTGACCAATTGCTTCATTCTGGAAAAGACTCCAGGACAACACTCAGGACTCTTGGCACGTACACGCCACCGTACCACCGAAAATGATACATGCCCTATTACAGACAGCGGCCTACTCCCTATGCTAATCCTAGGTTCAGACAATATTGACCCCAACAAAGAGGGAAACCTCGACAACAAAGACAATACCCACAATCGAACAGGGTGCCCATCCAGCACAATAATAGACAGTTTGACGTTATAGTCAAGGGACTACAGACCATCCCCCTAACACATCAATCAGAAATACATCAATATTTCACCATTGCTTACGGCCCTTCCAACAAGGGTGGTTTGCCATCACCGCCAACTGCTGGATCTGGGAATTGATAACTTCAGGTTACACTATACCCCTTCTCTCTCTGCCACCCACCTTTCCCCGGCCCTTTTCAGGGACCCATCTCACGAGACTCTCCTCATGCAGGAGGCTCTTCGTCTTCTCAATATTGGCGCAGTAGAGAGTGAGCCAGAACAATTCCATGGCAGGGGATTGCCTGTTATATAGCACTGTAAATCCCCGTACTCGCTCTCAGGGAAGGTGGATCACGTGGGTGACTGAATACAAATATACTAGCGCCACATCAGACAAACTCATGAGCTTGTTTAGCATTTGTTTATTATTATCCTTCCTTACTTGTGGTCTACTTTTTCAACTTCATATATAATCTGTAAGGAATTCCGCAAAATAATTTTGAATTTAAAAGGATTCCATGGCCAAATAAAATCGGGAAACACTGCTTTAGATGGACTTACCTCTTACATTAGTAGAACAGGCTGGAGCCATTAAAGCTGATCACTCTGGCATTGTCTCTTAATGACCATTAAGTGGTAGTCATTATTACAAAGGGCTTCCTCTCTTTCCTGTAGTGGATAGGCTCTGCTACTCGAACTCTAGGGAGAAATATAAATTTCCATGTATGATAGGGAAATATTTAGCTAATGGGGGATCCAGATGCTATATTGTTTATTAAACTGAACCCCCAAATTTAACACTTGATATTTGTCTAAAACTTGTACTAAATTATTTTGCTGTTTTCTCGCTTCCTGCCTCTAGTACGGGGTGGGCAATAATTTTTGCTTGGGGGGGTATTTAATATATTTTGATATGTGGTCACAGGCAGGCTCCAGTCTCCTGAAGGGGTGGCTGATGGTGCGGAAGGGGGGAAAGCGGGGGACTGGCCTCCCTCTAGAGTTGTCTGGGGCCAGTCTTGGAAGTAAAAGCACATCAAAGGGCTTGTGGCTACTGGTGCCACTGCTACCGTGTTGCCTATCAGCCCCCCACTTGTAACCACTACCAAGGCAGATTTGAACCTGGGACCTCGGGAGCTGACTCTAGGAGCCTCTACCCTCTGAGCTAAAAGGTAGAGGTCTCTTGATCTTAACTGTTGCAGTGGTCTAGGTGCCACTTGCAGTACTCAGTAACCACACTAACTGTGTGGGTTACACCTGCAGCCAACTAAAAGGCATGCGACTCCAGCCCCTGCCAGAGTAGCACCAGGAGCCATGAGCCATTTAAATAGGATCTTGCTGCCTGAGTAAGTGCCTGGAAAAATTGGTAGCACAGGCAGCAAGATATAAATAGAAAGTAGCCAGATGCAGTCTGTGGGCCAGATCAAAGTGTTAAGCATTCTGTATCCAGCCCCCAGGCCTCATGTTGCCCAGCCCTGCTCTAGTACATAGCTGTTGGATGAGGATGGGGAGATGTTTATTCATATGTTTTTTTAATGATTTTTACATTAGCTCTTGCATAGATTTTAAATAATAACTAGTGCTGCTACACGTGGCACAGTTGAGTACATTTGCTCAAGTGTTATGAGTAGAGGGTATGAATATGCTTTTCTACTTGAAGGTCTGCTGAAAGCTTTTTGTGCTTAGTAATTTAATGGAAGTATTGTTTTGTGTAACTCCAGGCCCCTGGCAGAATATTAAAGTTACTAAATGCTACACATCAAACTTTAGTTTTTCAAATGTCAAGATTTAAAACTATAAACTTGTATCAGGAAGCTGAGAGATCTCCAGCGTGAAGACGAGTGAGCCAAGAGTGAAGAATCCTACATCTGTTTTACCATTAATTTAACTGGGATATGGTGTGTGGTGAAAGAAAGTTATAGGAGGATGTTCTACAGTCTAAGAAAAATATACACATATATCATTTACATAGTAAACAGATGTGCTTCCATAATTGCTCAAAGTGGGATAAAGACTTTATCTTCTTTCTCAGTGATTTATAGAATCCTAGACTTGACTGATTCTTTGTGTTTACCCTCATGACTGACTAACTTTTCTGATAATTATTTTTATTTTTCTGCTGGGAAGTCCACCTTGAGCAGGGTTTCATGAAAATGTAACCTGGTTGTACATCACCAAAGAGAAGAAGGGAATATTATTATCCTTGGTCAACATAATTATGAAATATTTTTTAAAAAGAATCTGTGTTACAATAGAATTCTAACACATCTGCTTTTCCTTGCAGTGTCTCAAGAAGAAAGATCTGTTTTGTGTAGCAATAATTGGCTTCCACAGAGCTGTCCCAATGACAGAATTATCAGCACACCTACCTCAATTCCAGCATGGACAGCTGACAGAAAACTTCCCTGACAACCACCTGAGCAATACTGTGAGTAGCAAATTACCTCATCAAGCAGTCAGCTTGGAAGATAATAAGGTGATAAGTAACAGTTGAGTTGGATTTCTCAAGAAAATGTGTCAAACCAACCTTTCTTTGACAAGGTAACAAGTCTTGTGGATGGTGATGAGGAGGTAGATGTGGTATATCTCGACTTTAGTAAGGCTTTTGATACTATCTTGCATGACAGTCTCATAAATAAACTAGGGAAATACAACCTAGATCAGGAATGGACAAGAGGATGCCAGCAGGCTGGATGCGGCCTGCCAAGCCACCAGATCTGGCCCACTGCTGCCTCACTGGGACCCTTAAGCACTGTGCAGCATCAGCCACATTAAACATGTGCTCTGTCCCACTCCTCAGCAAAATCTCTCAGCTTTCATTGGCCAGTTTTTGACCAATAGCAGCTGAGATATTTTGCTGGCGGCAGGGGCAGCCAATGAAGCCTCCTTCACCCTGTCTGGAGCAGAGCTATGTAGAGCACCATGCGACTGCAGCCTTCAGGTTCCCGTGGGGCTGCTGACTGGCAGCTGCTTAGGTAAGTGTCTCCCAGCCAGAACCTGTCTCTGGCACCCCTACCTTTTTCCCCCCAACTACCTGCCCCAAGCCAACATCCAAACCCTCTGCACTCAGGTTACAACTCCCTCTTAGAGCCCCTCCCTCAGGCCAGAATCCTCTCCTGCACCCATACTGCTCCCTTCTGGACTCTGCACCCAAAGCTTCTGCCCCAGATCACAAACCCCTCCTTCACCCAAACTCCCTCTCAGACTCTACACCCCCTCCTGCATCCAGTCTCCTACCCCAAGCTCCCTTCTGCACCTAACTTCTGTCCCAGATCCCAAACCTTCTCGGAAGAAATGTGGCCCTTGACTACTTGCCAAAATCTTGGAATGGTCCCCCATTAAAAATTATTGCCCACCCCTACCTAGACAGGGTACATAACTGGTTGGAAAACTGTTCCCTGAGAATACTTATCAGTGTTTCCCAGTGAAGCAGAAAAGGCTTCTCAAGTGGAGGGTGTGGTCAGTCCTGGGTCTGATTCTAGTTCTGTTCTATATCTTCGTCAGTGACTTAGATAATGG